TGAAGAAAATTGAAATAGTTAATTTTACATTTTTTTAAACTATGATAATTATGGTTCCTAGTTTGAATTCAGAAATAAAAATATATAATGAAATTTCCTTCTATTATCTAAAACAACCAAAGAAGTACTAGAAACCTGCAAATTATCTGCATCATTAGTTTAACTATTCAAACATCAGAATTTCTGAAAAGCCTGTTTTCCATTTCTAACAGAATTTCCATATCCAAGTTCCTTGGTCAAGCTTCTGGACTTAACTTCCAAATCTTTACAGACTGCTAAATTAAGCTTTTCTATTCTTCCATTTCTGAAAGAAAGCATTACTTTCATATAAATGAGCTTTTATTATTCAAATATCTTAGCAGCTGTTAAAGAACAGTGCGAGAAGTATGAATGAGTGTGTATATGTTTAAGTTTTGATCATCAGGGAAGGATAATACAGATGCTAGTAGAATAGTAAGAAAATTATAAAAGCTGACTGGACTGTGAAATGCAGCACTAGATTGTCAATACTGAGGAGCATGAACATCTTAAGGTATGTTTTATAAAGAACTGCACAGATTACAGTTTGTTTTAAGTTTATGCTACTGTAGTATTTGACCATGAATTAAATGTTCTTCATTCCCATAGTACAGCAAGAAAATCTGATCAATATTGACAAAAGTGGTTTAGTGTGGACAGTAAATATACTGATGGGTAAGTGCAAGAACAGAGAAGCCCACATGACTGCTGAAATTTAAAAAGTTAAACTGAACTGCTATGTTTTCTGTAGATGGTACCTTTTTATAGTATTTTTTATGGTACTTCACACCATTCTGAAAGACTTTGGTATCTATTTAAGCAATGATATATCTAGATAGAAGAGGAGCAGTCTTTCTGGGATGCTTCCCCTAAACCAACATTGAAAATTGACTTAGAATTTCATGTCAGGAATTACCTGTGCTTCAAAGGATAAATAAGTCAGTAGTATATCAGAGCAAATTCAGAATATAAAATAGGAAGGAATATTGATTTCCTAATAGTACTAGAGGTCAAACACCACTAAGTGATACCTTAAGCATGGCTAACATTTTGCACGTACATTTTGCTAAATAGTTTCTGATACTTGTTTTTTTAACCTGACTGCATCCAAAACATTGAGTTTATTTTTAAATAAGTCGTGACATTTTTGCCATCACTGTATTCCTTCATTTGAAAAGAAAATATATCATTTGCTCTATCTCTAATTTTACTGTATTTGCATCCTCTAGAACTTTCTCCTCAAAATCTCTTCATTTTGGATAGAGAGGTAGAAAATTCCCTTCCTTTTGGCCAATTTCTATAATTTTTTTCTGTTCTTTTGATAATGTGAACTGCTACAAGTCTTTGAATTGGTGCAGATATATTGGACAGAGGCGAGCAGAAGACCCTTATAACAGAGGCAGATGCCATAAAACAGCAGTGCTGTATATTCCACCAAACCTGTGAATGCTTTTCACAGAGCTGGGGTACTAGGTACTGTAACCACTCTGTTATTTATGTATTTTGGCCACAATAACGGTAAGTGTTCTAACATCTTTCGGCTATCTGCAAGTTAGAGCTTAAAATTCCGGCTTTGCAATTCAAGTTTTATTTCCTCTGAATTTACCATTAAAATCCTCTGTGGGTTTATATTTGGCATGTAGGGTCTTAGCTTATGAGTGATTTTTTAAAAAAATCTGTATATTGTGCTGTAAATTGTAAAATCTATTTCTATTTTTTTTTTTTTGGAAGTCACTTTCTTGCCACTGAAAAGCACCACTTGTGAAGCTCATACCTCACTGACTCCTCATCTGTTATTCTCTTAAAAAAACCTGTTTTGTTCAGAAGCTAAAAATAATACATAAAATATGATGCCTATCTTTAGTCTTCTTGCATTTATTTGGGAAACAAGGTTCTTTTAATTACAGAAGAAAAGATATTCATGTATTCTAGCCATCAGAAATTTCACTGAAATTACGTAAGGGCTCTGGTATTAAACATAAGCCAAATGAGATCCAGAGTTTGTAGCCGATTTTCCGCAGCATGGTGGCCCAGAGAGACAGGAACAGGGCAAACCTTTGCATGGTTTTTTACACTTGTAACGAAAACTTATTAACTCGTTTAGACAATTTCTTTTATCAGTCCTGAGTTCTCTATCAAGGGGTATATAATTCAGTAGCCTGTCTAAAAGGAAAGGAATAATAAGAAGAATCCTCTCCTTTTTTTAAGGTTATGCCACATCTGCCTGGATCTGGGATGACCGTCCCAATTTCTGTCTTTGCTAGTTTATTTCATCTCGCGGCAGCTGTAGGCCACCGCAAGGATTTCATTCCTGTAGAATTTGTCTTTTACGTATTTGTAAGCAGCGTTCTCTCACAATATATACCTGATTTCATCTTTTTTTTTTTCCTTTTTCTTTTCTGTACTGTCAAATAACTGGAAGACTTTCACTGACTATTTATTTTCAAAGTATTTTTCACAAGGGAGACACCTTGCAGTATTTGTGCTGGGTACCATTTGAGATCGAAAGACTCCAACTGCAAAATACTGTCCGGGTGGGTTTGGTTGCCTGACCACCTCTTAATTTCTTCATGTGTGTGCCCATTTAGATGATTTGTTGGTTCTTTTATTATTTGTTTTGCTCTTCTGGGGGTACTTTTTTGTTATTTTTCTGAATATGTGCCTGTGTCTGTGATTCATTTGTACCCTGTTCATATGGTATTCTGACTAATGCTTTTGTTGAGATTTCCTTATTGGGGATTACCGCCTTATCCATTTTAATAGCAAATGTGACAAACGGCCTGCTTATCTTCTTTTCCAGGTTATTAATGATGGTTTGAAACAGGACCTGAGACAGATAATTTCCTCTAAAGCTCTGTGAGGGTTCTCCCCATGACTTGACTGGCACTTGTTTGCTACTTGTGGTCTTAATTCAGTACCTGCCAACACCAGAACTATTCTGAACAAGTTTTTTTAAAGTCTGACTCAGAAAGTCAGTTATCCAAACGACTGATGAAGTGCAGTTAGATAAAAATCCCTTTTCTAAGCTCAGATATTTTTCAGTTTAAGTTACAATTTCAGTGCAATTTTATTGATACTTAGTGGATGCTAATGGCTAAGATCAAAGGATTTTTGCCTTTAGTATTTTTTTTTCTTCCCTTTGCATTGTCATTTCCTTGTTTCTGTTGCTCTGTAGAACACTGGCTGTCCTTTTTAGGTTTTGTTTGTTGAGTAAATCATGCTCTCAGCTATTAACAAACTAAGGCAAATGACAAGCACAGCAAACCAGTCTTGATTCACCTACCAGTACCTTTTTTTTTTTTTTAAACAAGAGCTCTGTATATTATGTAATACACGATATGGAATCAAAAGCAGAATTTATACTTTTTTCTTCTAGCTTTAGCTTTTTAAACTTATTTTTTTGTCTTATTTGTGATTTGTTCTAATTTCTGTTTTCCAGTTAACTGCCTGCGTTCATGGGTCTGCAGCTATGCTCTACCCAATGTTCTGGCAACATGTTTACATTCCTGTTCTGCCCCCACATCTATTGGACTACTGCTGGTAAGCTAAATATATCACTTAGATACACAACAGTTTTCACATTTCTGTATTGTAAGTCTTAAGTGCTCTTATGAGGCAGCTGTTAGTCTAAAAATACATATGGATGTTAAGGATGCAACCAACGTAGTAAGTGAAAAGTATTATTTTCATAGCATGATCTAATGGTGCAGTATTTTGAGATGCTCTGAGTGGCTACTATGGAATGTTGCAACTTACATATTTTGTATGTAAAATCTGTTTTCAGCATATGTCTGTTTAATATTAAAATTTGAATTAAGACTCCAACAGTAGAAGATACAGTGGAAAAGGTGCTCTTTTTTTTTTTTTTTTTCCCCCTCCTCTGCTTTCCTGAACTGTTACTTGGGATGGGTGGAGTGAGGTGTTAATAGTATAAGCATGTGAGGCAAGGAGACTGTGATTCTTCTGAAATGAGTATCTGATGCTAAGTTTGGCAATACAGAGCATGGAGATTACTCAAAATCTGTTTAATGGAGTGTGATGCTCAGTGCATGATAGGACATGATTTGAAACATAGAAACATCCCCCTTCTCCAATACGTTTCAAAAAGTACCCCCTCCAAAAGAAAGGAAAAGAAGAAAGAAAAAAAGCAAACTTAAACTTACCAAAGGCAGGAAGGAAGTTTTTTTGTGGAATCTTAGTTTATCCCCCCTGCCTGCAGATATGTAAGTCACATATTTGCGTACTATACCATATTTTAAGTCTGGCTCTTACTAGGTTTTGTGTGTGTGCGTGTGTGTCTGTGTTTTAAGTGTCCTTCCATTCCTGTTTAGCTTTGCATTGCTTCCTTCTAGGAGCTTTTCTGTTTTTTTTTCCTTTTTTTCTTTCTTTTTTCTTTTTTTTTTTTTCAAGTAGCAAAGTGAAATTGATGAGGGGAGCGCAGACAGACTTCACAAAGTTATATGCTTATTTATATATTTAAAGAAGCACAGACGTGTGCTTGTTTAACCCCGATAGTGGGATCCAATAGAGTTACTGCTGATTTTTGAGTAGTTAGAATGATGAAAACCAAAGGTCATAATCACCGTGGCATTGGAGAGAAGTGTAAATTAAGGAACGTTCCTATTAGCACGATTTCACACAAGTAACCAGATCATTAGAGTACTGGGTAGAACATGTCTCTCTTTCAAAAGCCAGTCTCTACTCTGACTTATTTTTTATTAGAAATGATATTTGCTTAGTAATAGATTATTTCTATATAACAATGCATGTGAACATCCTGGAGGAAAGTGCATGGAAAAGTTATTCATGTTGCACATCTGTAACATACGCATCATAACCACCTAATAACTGTTTAAAAATCCTTTAACAAATTCTGTTGTAAATGTAACTTTAAATAATGGTCAGACCTTTGCCAATATTTGGTAAAGTGTCCACAGTGACTTTGAAATTTTTGTGTTAAATGGTTTTCCCTATTTTTGCAGTGCAACATCAGTCATCAGTGTGTATATCTGATCACTTGCCTAACACAACTATTAAGTGAATAGACTGCTACTGAGAAGAGCAAATAATCTCATGAAATTTTAATTCCATTGCTTCAAATTCAGTGGTTTCGGTTAGTGTCCATAATTGTCATAAAACTGACATCTTTGCTAATAACTTGATGGTATCGTTGTGTGACGTATTCTTTGAATTTAAGCAAGAGTTTCTGCAGAGCTTCTGAGTAAGGAAACAGCAGGGATAGCTAGCATTTCTAAGTGAAGTGCTAGAAGCTGAAACATGTAGATTTAAAGGAAGCTTGTTCCTCTGCAGATGATTAAATGTTAAGTGTGTGCCCATGTTGAGGATACACGGAACGAAATCTAAAAACCCTCCTGTAGAAGTGAACCTTCAATTTACTCACAGCGCAGGAAAGGCAGATTCGAGTCATTTTCACTGCCAGCAGGTGCCCTTTCGGTGCATAATGGCCTTTGCGTATGTAATTAACACATGAAGGCTGCTACTGCCAGTTTTTTCTTCAGGTACATGCTGCTAGGAGTTTTCAGGACAACTGTGTGGACCACAAGAGGCTTTTACACTGGGTTTGAAGATTAGGTATTCATCGACTTTCTGACAAAGCCATGTTAAAAGGGGCTAAGTCCAGATCCCACGGTTGGGAGCAGAGGTGTGCAAAAAGCAAACACATGGGCAGTGTAACCAAAGAATTAAAGACACAAATCAGTTAGCCATACTGAATGAATTCTTTAACGGCATAACACCCTGTGCATGTAACGAATGAGCCAGCTCGTGCATGAAAAATATGATTTTAAAACATGTAATTATCAGGCAGGCTGTAATTGCATGCTCATAAATACAACAACTGATTACCTTAGCCTGAAACAAACTTTAATTGGAGTGGTAATCACACACTGTAATTGTTTAAATATATGAATTTAGTAACAATTTGTGTGCCATAAATTCATTTCTCAAAATAGAGTCCATCTTTTTTTTAACCATGTGAACTTGGAAAGGTAATTTTTGCCTGGGAAGATGGAGAAATGAGCTTCATACTCTGTGCTTTAAGGCAGAGAGGCTTTTGCATCTTAAGGGAAATGACCTGAGATTATTTCAAATAAAAAGGTTTATTCTGATTTAGTTTCAATTATGTCTGGTTATTTCCTTTGCAAGCCCAACATAAGATTTTTAAAGAGCAGAAACTGGAGCAAAGAAAATTTAAGGGGTAAGAATTCTTCAGTTCCTGGAAATACAGAAAGCCATGTTCATTCAGTTGACTATGCATTTATTGTCTGTGCTGCATGGTGATTTTGAATCTTCTCTCTTTGTGAAAATTGAAGAATAGTATATAGAATAGTATATTGTATATAAAGAATAGTATTACTTGAGATCTCTAAAAGTTTTTAAAAAGAAAAAGCCTATATACCAGTTATGATTATTTGCTTTTAATCATTTGACTTTCAGTGGAACCCTTTCATACAAAGGAAACTTTTTAGGTCATGACTGATACGCCTCAGCTCAAATCCATGCCTATGAAATTTGCTGGATTTTCCTGGAGAGGGAGATTTTTGGATGGCTCTTTCCCAGAGTTACCTTGGTTTTGTTCAGAGTAACTTAAAAACGAGAACTAAAAAGGTGGAATACTTTAACTCTCCCCGCGCCACTTGAAGATTCTTTTGGCTAATTGTGCATCAGAAACTCAGCCTCTCAGTGGATGGTCCCCTTAGCTGTTGGCAGAAGTATGTTTCCCTGAGTTAGGAAGCAAAAAGTGGATGATTGGCTATTGCTACCTGTTCATAAAAATCTGCTGCGAACATGCTCAAAGTGAATCTGTTTCACTGAGATTTTTAAAGCTCAAATTCATTTTTCTGTTACATTTTGTCTCTTATTCAGATTTTACACCGCGTACTTTCAAACCACCCTATTTTTTCATTTTTTCAGTTTGCTTCATTAATTTTTTTATTTTTGAGAGGGAGAAGAGTTAATTTCCTTTTCATTTCCCCCTTGAAAATATTTTTTAACTTCATTTTTATATCCAGCTACATCCCTCATTCACCTAAGCTCAGAATTGAAAAGGCCTATGCATCTGGCTTCAGAATGTTTGTTCTGCCTATACTTGCTCTTTGTATTAGAAGAGGTGAACCGGTAATGGTGGTTTACTACCCTGTACATGTATCTGAAATGGCTTCAGTCAGCTGATCCGTATCATTTGGTTTCCTGTTTTAATGTTTAATTGAGGGGCAAGGGGAAGAGTGCTATTCTTTTATTATCTTTTTTAAATTAGAAGTGATTCTTTGATATATTTTCAGCCCAGGGAAAGATTTTGGGCAGAGGAGAGTAAAATGGATGGGAATTCATCAGACTTCATAGCTTAATGCGCAGTTGCCTCTTCCTTTGAACACAGAATCGAGGAAGCGTTTGAACCGCTGCTGTAGAAAACTGCCTGCCAGCAGGTGTCCAAAGTACCGGTTAGTGAGTACTACCACCAGCCAGCAGTAGCCAAGAACATACAACTGCCTAAGTTTGTCTGGTCAGGTCACCCACATCTATTTTCTTGATGTAAATTTAAACATTTCTTGATGTGAAAGAAACAATCTATTAGTTTTTCCCCCTACTTCTTCCGGTTTGTTTTTCATGTGGCATGAAAGCACTCCCACTGTATCTGTTTTCTTCCTTTTTGCTCTCAGTATTTGTGTTTAAAATTAGCCTGTAAGAAAACTTTGTCTTTGGCTAAGCTGGTAACAAGGTTAGTTATGTTCTCTCTGTCCAGAACATTGTCACATTGTCACAGCTTATTCTGTGGGTTTATACCAGGCGCAACACTATATTTTCTAAGGTGATTAAAGCAATCTTGTACCTTAGGTAGATCACTTAGCAGCTAACATTAACACATTCTGAGGGCCATGTTTTTAGAGCACTCTGGCACAGCTGCTGAGCAAATGTTTCTTTTGGTGCAGTTTTCCCTTTCTCTAGGAGTTTTCTTAACTCTTTCTCCTGTTTTCAAAATCTGCACACAGCTCAATATGTTCCCTTAAGTAGCTGGCTGGGGTAACTGAAGGGTGAGTACTCCTGCTGCTTGGGGAACAATTCCTTCCTCATGAGCTTCCCGGTAGGCGTTTTGATTCAGCCTAGCACATCTGTGTGCTCGCTAAAAGCTCTTGTAGTTAGTCTTCTGGTTTCTTAGCTGTATGTTGTCTACCCCATTCCAATTTATGTAATCAAGTTTCTAATTTGCATCAATTACCTAAATAAGTTTGGGATTGGATTCTGTTGCATTTCAATGAGTAATCTGATAAATCAAGAAACTGCCTTAGAGAGTAAAGCACTATTCAGTGTGCAAGAGTGACAGATTAAGTCAGTGTTTGTTTATCAAGACATGAACTTATTAAATGTGATCTAATCAATTTTCTTGGAACAATGGAGCAAAATTGTACAAATCCCTGGGTATTTATAAGCTATGAACCTTTTTGAAATCAGTGTTTTTTATGTTACATTTTTCTATTGAATTGCAGTATTTTTAAAGGGTTTTTTTGGTTTGTTTTTGTTTTTCACTTAAGAGGAAATGTCCCTCTATTTCACCTGCTTCTCTTCCAATTAGTAGTTACCCACCTCTTGGGAGCATAATTAAGAGGTCTCCAGTTAGCCTAAGGAAAAGAATTAAAGAAATTGTAAAAATGTAACTGTAATGAACAGGCAATATGTAACCAATAAGTCCACAATATCCATATTCATGCTTATGCATTGCTACTTTAATGATTTGATATTTGCCTATATAACTCACTTGATTATAAATAACCCTTTTTGCATAGGGAGCTAGTGTAACACCAGAAGTAGAATAACCTTTCTTTTTATTCCAAAAGACTTAGGCAGGCATTTTGTTTAAGCAGTAAATGTGTGTAGTATAAATTGATACTTTTTAATTTTGCACTTAATGAATGTTGGCTGCCATCAAACAACTTTGAGTAACTAGTAGTTGTGGGTGTAGGAAGTCCCAGGACTAATATAGAAGTGTCAAGCAGTAGGTAAAGACAGGTCTGAAGGGCAGTCTGTCATCTGTCATGGGTCTTGGAAGGATTAAGGCTTGTGCAAATTGTTTCTTCTGTTTACACAAACAGTGTATATTACTAAAATTGACTGGAAAGTCTTGGAAATACACATCTAAACTGGTACAGTATTAAAAACTGCTCAAGTGTTTAATGTCTCAGGACCTGAGTAGCAGTTAGGAGGCAACATTGCAATGTACTGTAAATGGTTAAGAGGGGTACACAATGTTCCCTTGTACAGTATGGTACCTGATTATTTAAGTAATGGCATATAATTAACACACGGTAAACAAAAATGGTGATAAAAGCAATTTATGAGCTGTGATATCACTCTTCAGCGTTCATGGCTAGGTTTAATTCTTCTGTCATCGCTCATCAGTCTCACCAAAAAGAAAATCATCTCTGTGGTATATTTTACTGGAAATATTTATGCTGTTTACCAGAATTATATTTTATTGACGTTATTTTTGAGGTTTGCTTAAACTTTTGGGGGTATAAGGAGTTATTGCAGTGAATTATCCTTAAAATATTTTTGCTTTTACTTTATTGTTCATGTATTATCACACAATAATGGCAGCCCTGACAAACAACATGAATTTTGATGAATTATGTATACAGAACAATTGAAATTTTGATATCCATGGAGAAAACAATGTAAAGTTGATATTTGAATGATAAGTGGTAATGGTGATATTAAAGCACTTTTGAATAAATAGCGCACGTAATTAAAGACATCCAAACATACCATAATCATCTTTTTCATGCACCATAATAGTTATTTTTCATATAGAAATTGATATATTGGGTGCAATATTTGAATTTCTCTTTTAATCCCTTCCCTGATTTTTATCTGAAATCATGATATCATTAACTCTGTTTTACGCTCTTTCTGGCTCTTCTGCTCTTCTCTTTAACCTACTTCTCTCCTTAGGATCTTCCCTCACAGCGTTTCCCTATAAATTCAGCACAATTGCACATTCAAAAATGAGTGCTCCATAGGTGCATCGCAGGTCTACTTTTGCTCCCCACCTGTCCATACAGCCTGAAACCTGTATTTCTTTTGATTCTCTGATGGGGTGTTGGTGGATGTCTACCATTTGAAATTCCTCTTTGGTGTCCTCCTTATTCAGTAGTTATGCACAGTGGGTTTCTGTGGACAAAACTGAGTCAGTTTCTTTGAGTGCATTCCCATAACTTGGGAAATTCTTTGTAAGTCTTTACATCTACTCTGTGTTTAAATCTTGTGTATTTCTTCTCCTTCCCATCTGAAAAGCTTTTTATTCATCTGTCTAGCTCCAGACATCTTGTCCAGGCTCTGACCATTCAGCAAGTTCCGCTCTGGCTAGTAGAAGTCAACCAAATTTTATATGTGCTTCAAAAGCTCTTACAATAATTTTTTTTGTATGGTCATGTTTACCTTCTTTGTTTACCTTCTATTTTCTCCATCTTCTCTTTTGCATCAGACAAGCTGTTTATCTTCCAGAGCCCTTCATAACAGGTACCTTGTTTGCTTGTCACCTTCTGTCTGCCACGGCCGTGTCAGCCTGTGTCCTGCTGAGCCGTGATCTATCACCCGTTTGTTCCATTTCTCAAAGACACACGCAACGTCTTTTTTTGTGCTCTACCTCATTCCCTAAAGAAATCTTTACAAATATTCATAAAACTAACATATTCACAGAATTAACACTCTGTTCTTCAACAAATCTCTGTTTCAAGTTTTCCTCTTTCGCATTGACCACTAAAGCCTGAGCTGTTTTTTATCAGTGGGTGTGCTAAAACCACTTTTTGTAGTACTGTAGCTTCAAATTTGTTCTTCCCGCTTTCTCCTGCCTGTCCAAATATATACATCGCATAGCACATTAAGTTCCTGATGGAGTCCTTTAATATTTGGTAATACAAGTTTATAAAAATAAAAAAACACTGCTAATTGGGTGACTGCAGTTTTTATGCAATCCCTTTAACAGTTTTATATGCTACGTTGCCTTTATATGTTTTGCCTTTTAATTAGAAAATTGAAAAGATGATTCATTGCCTCCAAAGTTGATCCATATACCTTAAGCCATATCTTTTTTGTGGTTCCCTAAAATCTTACTGGGGGTGTGTGATTTCAAGAGATTAGATATCCAGTTTATTCTTTTGTTGATAAACTGGAGGATTGAAAGATGGACATGATACAGTTAGTTAACTTTAACAGACTCCAGTTTTCCTGTGCTCAGTGACAGGCTCTGCTTTTGGACACATTAGTCAATGGCTGGTTTTCTGGAATACTGCACTCGTCCTGCTTCCTTTCATTACATTAGCCAAGGTTCCACTAGATGAGACATTTGCAGTCTTAAGACTTCCTGCCGAGGTTCAGACTTGGTATTTTTGAGATTGAAGCTGTCGTGTTCCTGAAACTACTTAATTAGAAACACATTCATTTCAGTGTATACTGGAGGAGGCTTGAACAGCATAGCCAGGCACACAGGGAAGTTGAGCATTTGTGCAGCTGGCAGCTAAACCAATGGTTTATACTTTGAATATAAAATTACTGGGTATTTTCTTACTTCTGGAGTGTGTTTGTCACTGTCTTTGTTAAGACAGTGTTTGTCACAAATAAAACATGCAAAATGACAAATAAAAATACTCTTTGGTTGAGCAGCAATCTGTAAGTAGTAAGCGTGTATTGTGTTGTATGGTAAAAATCTTTACCGAAGAGCTTGGATGTATGTTCTGGTTCTCACTTGTGGACCTCCCTTTCATGCAGAATCTTTAGGATTTTTACCAAGTTAGTTTCTGATTTAACAGTCTCTCTGGACTATGTTAAGGTGCTGTAGGAGGTGAAACTTGGGCAGGGATATTCTTATCAATCTGTACAATTCAGTAGATTGTAATGTGGTACATGCCACTTCTGTATTCTGCAAATGGACTAGTTGTGGGTTGGTTGGTTGGTTGGTTTGTTTTTCCACTGAAGTTGTGTATGTTTAATGGCTTCAAAAAGGAAGAGAGCCCCCAAAGTTTTCACGCAGAGTGGCTGTCTCCATCTCTCAGTACAGCATCCAATAGAGTAGGAGTTTTAGGTGGTATATTAATGAACATGATAAATAGTAATATGCATATTAGTCAATTTTATTTCTTGAAAGGGAATTTCTCATGGTAATGAGAAGCAGAGTAATTTTTGGTAGTATCTTTCAGCGCTGCTGCTTCTCGTACTGAACAGTAGGCACCAGTTCATAAAAGCTTCATAGACGCTATTTTCATCCAAGACGGGACAGTGACATTTCTCTCATTTCTCATCTGAAATTGAAAATCAGCTCTTTGAGCTTCTGTGTCCAAAATCAAATGAGCTTCTATTTTAAAAGCTGTGTCTGTCTACGTGCTCGTAGTTTAACAGGCAGTGTATGCCATGTTTGCAATTAGCAGCTTTGGCATCTTCTTTGATGCATTCTAATAAGCAGTGCAAATATAAGCCTTTCCTGCTTAGTTGAGTGGGAGGACTGTGGTAAAGCTTGATATTAGGAATACAGTATATACAAAGATACAACTTTCACTCTATATTTTTCTTGTGTTATGCAGTCCTTATTGGTATTTGGTAACATCATAGAACAGAAGATGGAAAAGATCAGTCTTTTTCTTAAATAGCTGAGGTTCTATTTGATAGCAGAAGTTTCCTGTCTACGCTTGAGAATGCAAACTTGTCCTAAGAACCTGTTGGTCTGTTTAAGTTTAGTGTTCTGAAATAAATAATAGCACTAGTGTATATCACAGTGACTCTGGATGTAATCAAAGTATTCCAAAGCCATTTTTCTCTTGTTTTATTGTTTTGAACATTCTATGATTTATACTTAAAAAAGAAGTTATTTAAAATGTGTCTGGCCCCATAATTAAAGGGCTTAAAGTTTGTATCCCTGGGTGAGAGAGATATATATAGAGAGAGATATACATATACATACACACATTGAATTAACCACTTAACATTACAAATGGATCGGTCTGTCAGAAAAATACTGTTTAGAAAAAGTCTAGGCATTTAATTGAAAGTTATGATTTACATATTTTATTCTTAATAGATGAGTAACTGTCCTTATTTATCTGGCTTAACTTACTTGCTAAGTAATTATGATGTCAGTAAAAAATTAACTCTTAAAAAATAGTTAGCTTAAACAAATGTCTTTCAGATATGGAATAAAATTTTTTACTTATGTGGTTTATGTATTTTTAATAAAGTCTAACTTAGTATCCCTGTGTTTTCTTGTAGCTAATTTTGTAAGTCATGTGTGTTAATCTAGTGTTACAAGAATGTAAAGCTAGGCTTTTTTCCTCTTTGCAGTGCCCCAATGCCCTACCTCATTGGAATACATTTAAGTTTGATGGAGGTAAGTTTTTCTCACCATTTCTGGGAATATATGTAGTTTTATGGTTTAGACCCAAATTCTGCAAGCAATTATACATGCATTCATATGCTTAAAAATTAAATGGTTCTGCTAATTCATATGGGATTGCTCAGATGACTGAAGTTAAGTATATATTAAGTTAACATTTAATCTCCTGGGAGTCGTATTTGGTACCTTATACTCTTCGGGCATACTTTCTGTTTTCAAATCAGTGGTCAGTGATGACCTCATGTTGTGTTCCGTTCCCCATCCCGCTGCTTCATTTAATCGGTTTACTGCCTCAGTTTGACTCTGTATTCAGAGAGGCAGAATTGATATTAAACAAAATGTTGACAGTTACAGTTCTTTCTCTCTTCCTTTCTCTCCCCCCCCACCCCGGCTTTTTTAGACAGATTATAATTTTTTTTAGTGTTCAAAAGATCTGAAAACAAGGAACTTGCTGTTAATGTTAACACAAAACTGGCAGAAAACCAGCGCTCAGAAATCTTAACCATATAAACAGTTCATGTAACTTTAAAAAAACTCCGTACGTGTAAATACCACTTTTTCTTTTGGTTCCAATAGTGGTGAAACCGTGGATGACTTCAAAAATACCTGGAGGACATCATAAGCTATTAATTTAGATCTTTATGAAAAGCGTACTCCTTTTTACTTGTGCCCCTTTACACGGGAAGTCTGAACAACATGTATATTCTAAGGGTGGTAAGAGGTATGCCTGCAAAGAAAATACTGCCTTCCAAAAGTAATTCCAAATTTAGTAGGCAGTGTAGAATTGGTAGGAGTTGCAAGTATCCTTGGCAATTATTTGATTTGTGCCTGTGTTTTAGACATCTATGTTTGGAAATTTAGACTTACTTATTCAGGATACTTAACAATTTACAGTGCTGAGATTTGCATCACATTAAGTAGTGTATATTAGCAGAATATCTGTTTTTATATTTCCCATAAAAATATGTAATTTCTGTGGAAACATTAATAAAGCATATTTTTTCACTAGGGCATATCCATGAAATGGTCCTCTATGTCTGTGTCTGTTTTAAAACTCAAACTATTATAGTAAAAAGCTTCCCCTTTTTTCCAGTACTAATGTGACATACTTTCTTAGAAGTCACCTTTTACATGAGAAGTTAATATACAGATCCTTTTTTTTTATTTTTCCTCTCTCTTTCCTGGCCACAGAGAGATTATTTTTTATGCCCTTTGTATTGCTAAATAAAGTACAGATTGACGATAGACAGTACAATGTGTTAGTGAATAAGTAATTATTTTAAAAGTCGACATGTAGATTTTCTTGCACATCCTATATTTATGTTAGAGGGATTTCTCATAATGACACTTGAATACTGCACAGATGAGACCAAAGTAATATCTAGGGAGGAACAGTGTAGCCTGTATTTTTGATACTGAGCAAGAATTTTTCTGCCCTATATCCATACCAAATAATCATTGGCATGCTTATTATGGTATCTGTCTATTTAAAAAAGCACTGCCTGGTGGAGGATGAGATAGTAATACGGATATTTTTCAGCTTTCACAAATATTTTCTCCCACAAAATAGTAATCTTGTGAACCGTGTGGTCAGCCTGGCAATGGATATAGAAGAGATTTAATAATTACATAATTACATCTTGGAGGGGCTTTGCATGATGTCTCACTCCTGTCCCTATGCATAAAATCATTACCTCTTTTTTGTCTCGGGTTTTCAGATTGCAGTGCTCTGTAGGCCTTCCAAACTCCATCTGTAAAAACGCCAAAAAAAAAAAAAAAGTTGTTCTTAGAGAAGCTAGTTTTCTGTTTAGTACTAAATCCAGTATGGCTTTTGAATAGGAAGAGATTTTGGAACACAGACACACATTGACAAAGTACCATTATCCGAAGTGCCTTATGAAATAAATTAATAAAGTAAAACTTCTCCCCTCCTCTCCCTGCTCTTAAAGATGAATCAAGTATTTCCAGATAAAAATTCACCTTGCAGCTAGCTGTGCTTTTCCCATTGAAAAATAAAACTACGCAGTGGGCTGTGGGTGGTATCACTTATTTATCGATAGGTATCATATAATTTGTCTGTGCCTTGGACAAATGAAAGGTGACATTTGTCACACAGCTTGACTATTACTAGATTACCTCTTAGCCTGTTTTTGATGCCAAAAGCTTACTCTCTTCTTAGTCCTATTCTTCATATGTAGGTATAAAATTATATGTTCTGTTAGAATAACAACTTAGCAGCAGCATTCTTGCTCATGACCTAGCAGTTGTGTTTTTTTAAATATACTATATTAATTTTTCCATATCAAAGCAGTTGTATAAACTGCAACTAAAAGGATACCGTCATCAACCAGTATTTGTTTTTCATTTAACGCCAAAATTTCAGCAGATAAGTCGCTAAAAGTGCTTTGTTAATTCAAGTGTTCTACTTCCAGGGTAAGGGATTAATTCCCCAGTTTTCCATTCAAGTTACGACAGGTGGACTCTTTAGCTATTGTAGAGCCCCATGGGTGTAATTGCAGGTTTATATATAGGCTCAGAGTTCTGCTCTGGCAGCTCCGATTGCAGAATTTGTCATAGTTGCGTAAATGTTCATGGAAGCTTAAACTTAGGCAGGCAAAGTTATGGTGTAACGCGGATGGTCAACTTGGAACGTAGGGAAAAATAATTTTCTGTCTTTGGTGCTGTTTCTGTGGTTGTTATTTCTATCTTGGAGTGGATCCTCTGGCAGAAATATTGTAGTAATTTTAGTACTTTAAAACAAAATACACCCTCTGTCTCACCTCAAAAGATTTTTTCAAACCACTGTGCATCTTGAAGTTAGTTAGCAGTTTGCCATGTTATGTTGGCTCTGTACAGAAGGAGCACTAACTTTAATGGAAAATGACAAATTTTTCTTATGATTAAAATATCAAACATATCTATTGACTGTAAATCTAATTTGCTGTGACTGAAATGTTCTCCAGTGAGATAAGATAATCTCCTGTTATAGGTCAGAGGGCTCCAGCTGATTTATGAGGGACACTCTTGGTAGAAAATACAGAGCCGTGTTTTGTGCTCTTATTTTTCAGCTTTTCTATCATCACCTAGTTAGTCATTCTTTATAAGATTTCCATTTAGCAATCCATAAAGTGACTTCAAAGAAGGCTAAAAGTTTATAAGCTGTTAGATAAGCAAGGCTGGAACTTGAATATCACATGAATAATGGAGCATGCTTACAGAACTAATTGAATTCATATTAGATGAAGATAAGTACTTAGTACTGATAAAGAACATTGAGAGGAAAATGAAGCTGTATCAAATGAATACATCCCTTTCGTAGTCGTCTTTTTTTTTTCCCCCTACCTGCGTACTCTATGCTATTTTAGTGTTTATATTATAGTAAATTGACCTTTATGTTAAAAGTGGTGTCAAACTTAGCTAGCAGCCTTTCGCATTTTGTCATAGTAAATGATTGTTTCAGTAACTGTTTCTGTAGCAAAGGTTATTAGTGTGATGGTGCTGATGGAAGAGGAATGCCCTTGACCTAGTAGACTACCTAGTGGAATTTAGGCACATGTGGTTTTGATTAACCATTTTGGGATAGTTCTTTTTAGCTGTCAGATGCTGAGTTGCTGGCGGTATAATCTTCCGTGCCTGGCTTCCAGTTATTCAAGTTGCCATCATGCTCGCCCTCATCATGCTCTACTCAGGGCACAAAAATAACGTTTATTTAGAAATAAATTTAATGATTAGAAAAGTACTTATTTGCTTATACTTTTATTGAAATTCCAGTCATGCAAGGACCTTTTCCGGGCCTGCAAAATTTTTATTCTTGTAAAAATCTCTGGAATATATTTATATGTGAAACATGATGTTGTGTTTGTCAGAATGTTCCTCCGACATATTCCCTAAGCATGAAAGACGGTTACATATATGATGAAATCTACATGAGCAATTTTTTTTGTTGTATGTTAACTGAATATGAGTAAACATGTTCATGTTAGGAAAACTAAGGCCGCTAAAATTCATCGTGCCTTTATTATGCTAGGGCATAGCAACTGATCACACTTCATGTAAATATTCCTTTCTCAATGTAAACAGGTGAAAAGAATGTTATATGTTCAGTCCTCTAAACTCCATGTATGTGTTCTAGAAGCACTTTTTTACTGTCCACATGATCTTTTTCAGGAAGACATGAGGGTGCTCTGTTTGTGATCCAATCTGATTATATGCCAGTTAACATGGACAAAATCTGAGCTAACGAGCCCTGGGAAACAGGTTACACTAGCTTGCGCTTAGTACTAACAGTGACACATGGCTCCAGTTGCCTTGGAATACTGCTCAAAGTAACGTGCAGCAGTTTGCAGATGACACCCGGAGAATTCATTAACCACTGGGATTTTCCAGTGCTAGTGTTAATTGTGAATTATATTTTTTGATGGGGAAGGGAGGAAGGGAAGCTCATCTTTAGTTTTTTCCATCCCTTTATATTTGATAAATATTATATTTTCTAGCAGTAATCGATTAAATGTTTTCCAGGTTTTTAATGAGGGGATAACATATCGGATATTCTTCAATACAGATTGTTAAGAACTAAAAGTAATTCAGGCACTCACAAATATTAAGTTAAGTTATAGTTGTACATGGTTTCAAGGGTGTTGATTTAAAAAAAAAAAAAAAGTAAAAAGGGATGTAAATACATGATGAGTTGTTAAATTGTCCTTTATTGGACAATTAGAAGAAGAAAATGTTTTGCTTTAATAAGAGATTCTGGGTAGGTGAGTGCTTGAGGGGTAAGTTCTAAGAAAAATAAATTCTGCAGTACCAAGTGAACTTCTCAGTAACTGTAGAAAGTTTTCTTCTGCCGTACAACAGTGTTAGAGCAGCACTAGTGATTTTTGTCACTCAGTTAGCAACAGCTGCTTGTGATAAGGCTCTTGAAAATCACCTGTGCAGGATCAGGGTCCTGCACATCAAGGTTGGGAGGTTGGCGGAAGAGGGGAAGATGCACAGGAGGGGGCAGTGGCCACCTGCGGTGCCAAGATCAAAGGGTGGAAAGGGCAGGGGGCACATCCAGCTTAACCATATTTGTCTGCTGAATAGCTATTTCAGATTGTAAATCTAAGGGTGATTTCATTAAGTCCTTCTGGCTGCTGTTGGGGCATGAAATAATAAAATTTTATATCCGTTGCCTTTCCTGCTTCTGGCAGCCAGATTGACACATTGTTGTCTGCAGTGTTGTGGTGTTCTTAAGAAAATAAATGGAAACTCTTAACCAAGTAGAGATGAGTCATAAAGCAGAAGGATTTTAGACTTGTTGTGAATGATATTTTCATAATAGTTTCAAGTAGAATGTACAAACTAGATACCAGAACATTAATTTTTTTAAGAGTTTTAACTTTTCAAAGTAATTATTTGAAGTTATATTTTCTCTTTTCTGTTACTGCAACATTTGTAGTATACTGAGCACATTTTAATCTGGTCATGAAATTCAGGGTCAACTTGGTTTATGTTTTGACACCAATTTGGTAATGAGGGTAAGTAAGCCTAAAAACTACTGATGTCGGGTGTATCCTTTTTTAAAGGAGCTAAACTTCTGAAAAAAGTTTAACTTAGTTGTTCTTGTGATAGAAAATGCAAAAATGCAAAGCATAGATAGTGATAATGTAATAACATTTAATATAAAGAGGTATTAATATCACTGATGAATGTTACTTCAAGCCTCTGAGTGAGATAGAGGGGCACCTCTTAGTATTTCTAACAATACAGTTTTTCACTGGTTTTGCAAACTTTCATGCAAAACATTTAAATTACTTCAAAGGTTCAGCTTCTTGTGAGAAGAACAGATTGCACTAACTGCTGCTTATTTACTGACCTAGTGTTTAAGGCCCCCTGGAGTTTGTTTGAAAAGTTAAGAGATTTTCACAGTAAAGGTGCCATTTCTGAAATTTAAAGTGCTCTTTTCACCAGGAGATAAGTTCTCTCTGATTAAGTCAGTAATTCTTACTAAGCCATGTTTATAGAGGCCATAAACAATGGGTTCAGTGTGCTTGTTAAACTAGCTTTCCGTACCTCTCCACTCTTTTAAAAAGAGACATTTAAAATAAAAGGCAGGTGTGACTGTTAGTCCAATTTGATGGGCTTTAGAGGATTAATTATGGTTACAAGGAATTTAGTAAGGTTGGTTGGGAAAATTTGTAGTTGTGGTAGATGATGCACATTTTCACTGAATCCCTTCTTTTGACTCATCAAATATCCCATCTATAGTAAATTAGACAGGCAAACTGTAATATTCATATTTCCTCCTACTTTCCACATATTTTTCTGAGAAATGTGAACTTAATGAACCTAGCCTATTCTGTTCAACAGGTAGCAATTTATTTCTAAAATTTTGTTTTGATAGTCAGAAAGTTGTGATATATAGAATGTGATTATATGGCTTAGTGGTCGTCCCTTTGTGTCGTGAGAAAATTATGACAGCACACAAACTATACCTGTGAAAATGATCTACGTGTAGTTGCAATTTATGGTATGCCAAGGTATTTCATGTGAAAAGTGTAGGAATTCTTACTGAAATTCCAACCACAGAGTAAGTAGTTTTGTTTCTGGGCTAAGTCTCTTTCCCCTCCCTGGGCTGCTGGTTGCTACATTTAACGGAGGAGCCAACAAAAGCACATCTTTTATCTCTCTGCTAATACCTTTGATGTACCTAGTAAATAATCTTTTTGATCAAGGATAATAGTGAATGGAAAGTTCATTAAAAATAGATAAGGGATGAGATGAACTGGTCAGTCTGCATTTATCTGGCCACAACTAGACCAACTGCATTTGTGTATTTTTCAAATGCAATGAAAAAAAGACCCTATAAATCAAGCTAGTGTGAAGTGTTTTAAATTGGAGGGTTGATATACAGGGGAATCCACTGTCTTCATACAAATATTGAGAATTTTTCAAATAAGGTTGTGCTTTTCACTCTGAAAAAGTATAGCACAGCCTAGTGTAATAATTAGTTAGCCTTCTTTTCAGGAAGAATTATTTCTGGACTGTGTGTAGAGGTGAATGAGGTTGATCAGCATTTGTAGTCCTTGCACCCTGAGCTGTATCTTTTCCTATTATACTCCTTGGCAGATATCTGCTTGTGAAAAGCCTGTTCTTTGCTACAGAAAAACCCAGCATTTTGCTGATGGGAAGGTGCAGATTCATCACCGAAGTTACAAAAACACCCATTGACAAGTTCAAACACATGTATGCTGCTTCTTCGGCAGGAATCAAGAGAAGGTTTTAATTCCTTCTGTCTTGTCCTACTGGCACTTGATTTTTGACAAGCTTCTGGCTTTGGTTAAGTACATTGCTAAAGACCTTTTTGTTGGAGCTTTTCAGACTCCTCTGAGTATAAGTGAGATTTTTAATTTTGTGAAACAGGAAGAAGCAAATCAGTTTGTCTGGCTCTTCCGGACTCCTAGAAGGAGTGAGACTCCTGGATTGCTTTAGAGTTTATCAGATGCAGCCAACAGAGTGACCTTTGGTTCCTGAAATGGAGAGGAAAGTACCTGGTTTGTCATGCAGTGCATGTGCCCCTTTTTATGCGAGAGCACTAAGTGGAATATTCTTCCACTTAAAATTAGAGAAATTTCTCTTGAAGACCTAAACATAAATGTCTAGAAAGCTTGCTTGTTGGGGTTCTTTTGTTGTTTTTGTTTTTTACCCCTGTATACACAGCGGCTTTCTTTATAGAGGGAGGACTGAGCCTTGAAAACCGAAGGTAATTATGTAGATGCCTAAGGCTTAACATTGCCATTGTTTTAGAGCTTTAATTCCTTTCTTTTAAAGGAAACAAATCCGCGTACCCCACAAAACCTTAATCAAAATTGAGTGCGTTTTTGTTCATTTTCCTCCTCGCTAACTTGCATTTAGTCCTGCTTATAGGTATGTATGTCCCTAAAAAGTTTATTTACAGACTCATTGGGAAATTTCCTTGAATACTATGTTTCATAGTTCCACTTTTTCTGATTTCGAATTTACAAAGCTGGAATTTCAAGAGGGCTCAAATGTGTATCTGTTAAGTGAATGGAAATGGTGTTTGTCTTCTGTGTTGATCAGTCAGTGGAAAAAAACCAGTATTTAATTGTCTTGTTACATGAAAAAGTATTAAAAATATTTAAATGCTGTGGTGTTTCATATCAGTGATTGATTTACTGTTTTTAGCAGGATAATAAAATCTGACCATATTCAACCATCTTTAGCTACTTAAAGTCAAAGGTATCAATGATTGTTCTTTTGCGAAACAGTCTGTGCTTTGCTTGTATACATGCTTGTACTGTTACAGAAGACAAACGCTCGCACTAGGTTAGAGACGTTTTTCTCTCAGTTAATGGGACTAGGATCAAAAACTTTGTCCAACTCACCATTAAGTGAACGAGATGTGGTAGAGGTGTTTTATTTTGTTGATGTTTTTGTTTTACTTTGTTTTGTTTTTAAACTTCTGGCAGTGTCCATTTTACCTAACTGCAATTATAAATTTCTCTGTGTTGGAGATGCAAGATTAAACCTGAAATTTGGAAAGCAGATCTCATCCTTGATTTACTTGAAACTCTAACTACTGGAAGAGCCACAATTTTTTGTTAATTTAAATTAAGTTCTAAATATAAAAAGATATACTTGAAATCTTGACTCAGCTAGAAGCTGTACCTGGGCATAATAAATATGCAAACATGGTACCAGAATTAAGATGAGCATTATCAGAGATGCTTGAAATAACTCTCTGCTTGAATGATTTCAGACAGTAACTGTGTGATTTTAAAAATTTCAGTATGCGCAAGGTTAAGAACTTCCCTCTGCAAAGTGAAGATTAATTTTTCAAACTTGTAAAATATGAATTACTATGACAAATTGTACGGGAAAGGCAGGAGTTTTGGTTGTTTTTAAAATGCCTGAGAAGTTTTGTAATGCCAGAATGCTATGTCATCACTTGTGTCCTTTATGGATAGGATTTAACTCTTCATGTTTATGTCTTCCTTTCCCTTCTCTTGAATTTGCTCATATTTAGAAAGTTAGAAACATGGCCCTGGAAGATGTGGTGATTCTTAATGTAGACACTAACACACTGGAAACCCCTTTTGATGACCTTCAGAGCCTTCCCAATGATGTGGTATGTATAAAATAATTGTATTCAACTAATCCGTTACTCAAAAGTGTAAATCCTTTTGACCTGTTCAGTTTCTAACTGAAGTGTGTCATTATGTTACTTTGATTATTATAAAAAAAAAAACGACTTTACCTCAGTTGTTTCCTGTTTTGAAGTGTTAAGCCATGTTTGTCTGAACATTTGCAGATGTATTTTTCAGCCTCCAAAGGAAAATTTGCTAATGTTGATGTAAGCTAGAAATGCTGCAGCAACCCAGTTTCGGTTTTGGATTAGCATGATTGAATTATCTAAAGAATTAGTCTTTCATGGAGGAAAACAAACAAAAAAACCCCATGCAAGTAGTGGTACATCTACGTCTTTTAAATAACTCTTCATATGGAATTAAGTTTTTTTTTTTCCTGTGAATTCTTCCGGTTGAACTTTAATAAACGTAATGCATTTTTATATCCTGAGTTATCCACTTCTAGCGCTCCTTAGTGCAAATAATTCTGAATTTATTTTCCTTTCTTGTTTAAACTTTTTACTTGTAATTTATTTATTTTTAATAATGTAATTGAGATGTTGTGTAAGTATTTGTTCTTTCCCTTTTATGGAACAAAAATACATCCAGTTTACCACCTGCTACTGTAATCATCTTCACTAAAGTTGAGAAGGAAGAGCAGTGAAATGAGCAAAAGTGTAAGAAGCCATTTTAGGTTTGTTTAGAAGAATGCAGGGCAGGGGGAAATCTGAATTTCTTTTACTATTTCAAAATATTGTGCCTTCTACTAGGTCTGCACCTTTTTATGTGAAGCTTAGAATAACATTGTTACGCAGGGAGCTCAATGTAAGCTGGTCTGTTTGAGGAAAAATGCAAATAATGGTGAATACCGAATGCCTCCTCCTGTGACATCCCGTCATTTCTCTGTGATGGGTGGAGTGATCTGTATAGAAACTTAGATCTGCTTAGAAACAGTTAGTTCTAGGTAAAAGGTCCATCTTCATTGTGAACATCTGGGCTGTTGTCAAGCATGTAGTCTATAACAGTTACTTCCATGCATTTTTCTGGCTTCGTAGAGTTTTGATTTTGATTTCACTCCCAGTTGCCGAGCTGCCAGCTGGTCATTGCTCATGCCGTTACCCACAGCCCGGGAAATGACAGACTTGTAAAGTTCATGGAATTATGTAAGAAATGTCTGGATACAGTGAGTCCTGGGCCTCAAACACGTATATGATTTGTCAACAATCAAGTATTATATTAGATTTTATGAGACTTCATTAAAGGAGCTGTTGTAAGAGCACTGTAGAACATCAGAAGAGACTTCACCAATAAACACAGAACTTCAAGCTTTGGAATGTAATAAATTTTAAGAGACTTCCTTCCTTTCATTATTTACTTTTACTTCACTTTTATAACAGTAAAGAGTTGTGTTTTATTAGTTCAGATTTCTTGATTCAGTTTTCCACAGGTCTATTTAAAAGCTACATTTTATCTTGGAGGATGTTTGGAGCATAGCAGAGGAAGTGCTGCCAGCAAATGCAATTAACTGGCATGGCTCACAAAATAGCATACACGGTGGTTGTTTTTTTTTCTTTTTTCCCCTCCACAACTGCTATATAAATACAGCTGGGATTAATATTTGTTGTAAGAAAGACTTAACTTGAAATCGTGTTGCTTTGTGTAATTAATGTTTGGGATCAGTGTTTAAATTTTATTTAGTTTTGTTTCATTATTTGAGTTACCTAGATAATGAAGTATTCTCCTCTAGGTCTTTTCCTTTCCTTCTTCCTTCAGATTGCTTAGTATTTGGCTGTACCACTAGAGAGCAGCTGCTCTTCTTTGCAAGAATTGAATTTCTGTCAGTTCTTTCATGCATCATGTGTTTGGAACTGTAAGTGGATCAAGTTGTTCGTCTCAGCAGGGAGACGCTAAAGCCAATCCATTATACTTTTTTTATTATTATTATTATTTTTATTTTTTTAAAGGGAGGATGTGGAGAGTGTCTCCCCAGTTGTGTAAGTCTACGTAGATGCATTTATGATCTCACAAACTAGAAATCTCTTCAACAGTTTCGTGACCATATATGGCTATTCTGCCAATTTTGCAAGTGAATATAAACATCCATGAACTGCTGAATATCCACAAAATTTATTTTGCTAAATCAAATCCATCTATATTCAACAGTGATGAGAAATATTTTGTGTGATGCATTCACCAGCAGGTTTTTTAATGCAGTAGAAAAATTTTAATTTTGTTTTTTTCCTAGCTGTTCTAATTAAAGTAGGTAAAGAATCCCCAGAGATATTTGGGAGATTCAAGTACCGAGTCGTGCTGGAGTTTCATGACAGTGATGTTGGTTTTCAGTAGTCCAGAATGAGTTATTCATTACAGTTTCACTCCTAGTATCCAAATGACCAGGTACTGTAGTGAAACATCTTTCCAGTAACCATTCAGGTCACAGCAGCTGGATAGCCTGAGACCGTTCCAGTAGAATCAGATTAAGCCATTTCTTTGCTTTCGTTTGCCTCAGTAGTACCTGAGGAAGTCAGACTTCCTCAGTTGTCCAGGTCAGGGCCTTTAAAAATCGAGGTGTGTACCCCACTGCGTTACTGATTAACTATTTGAAATGGGAAAAGCTGTCCCTCCTTCACCTTCTGTTTCTGCTACGTGGCTGAAAATCTGGCTGCATGAGAGCTCTCTGGGAAGTAAGTTTCCTTTTTAAATAGTCAATATTAAAAAAAGAGATTTATTAAGGACTGTGATTACAATAAGTGCATCTGCTGCTGACAAGTCTCCTACACCACCGTCTGTGTTGCAAGGAATAGCAAAGAGGGGGTAGGGTTTTTTTTTTTTTTTTTTTTTTTTTTTTGTACCTTATGGATTTATCATGTATTTCCAAATAAGTGTCATCTTCTAGTCTTAGTTGTAGTCAGAGCTTCATTTTACAAGGAATAAAGCATAAGCTTGCTCTGTCAACTTGTAGTCTTTATTAGATGAAACTCTGATGCAAAGCCTAATATAGTATACAGCACCAAAGAGATCTTACTTGTTTTATGGTTGTATGAATATTTTGAGTTTGTACTAGCCCATGAGTATTTTAGGCTGTCAGTAGTTTAGTTTTGTATGCTACTGTTGTCCATTCATTAACAAGTTACCACAAGTAGGAAACGTATGTTACTGTTTTTCCACTCTGTGGGAAATTAAATGCTTTTAAGAGAGCAAGAAGTACTAAAAGCTCTATAGCAAATCCATTCTCTTAAAGGTGAATCCATTTTTGGTTCTTACATGGTATTTGCAATAGAATGTTTCTTGCTTTATTCATGTTGACAACTGAAAAGCCTTGGACCTAATTAAAAGAATTTCCACTAGCACCTTTACTGAACCATTTCATTATGCTGCATTGCACAGATTGCATTTTGAAACATGGTGATAGTTTAAGTCTGACCTTTAAACCTGAACTGCCAGAAGTATAAAAATCTTCTTTTAAAAACACTCTCAGGATAGACTGCATGTATATGTGTCTGTTTGGCTAGAAATAATCTTCGTATTGAGTGGTCACAGTCTTATTTTAGAAGAAGTATTAGTGCCTCTTTAGGCAGGAAAGCAGTAATAATTCTGTTTATATAGTCCCTTTTACTCTGGAATAATTTAATACACAAGACAAACATGAGCATTCTTTCTCTTACTCAATATGTTATTGTTAACTTTCTTTTTTTTAACTATGATATGCTTATTGTGATAAATTTGATTGAAAGGCAGAAATGAGTGAATATATAAAATAGACATCATGTAATGTTAGATTTAGTCTTGGAAGAGAGCAAATGATCCGAAAGCTTTAAGGAATTTGCAAAATACTTAGCAATATTCTACTTCTATAATACATGGGGATGCTGAGACAGAGAGAGGCTGTGACTGGCCTTTTGAACTTTCTTAATTTGTTGTACAATCAATAATAGAACTTTTTTCTTCTCTACTGATAGCAAGTTCTATATCTTCATGTGAATTTTAAAGAAAATTTCTTAACATAAATGTTCAGGATGAATTTTCAAGTTATTTTGAAATTTTATTTTATTTTATTTTATTTTTAGGACTACTTTTAAATGGTTTATCTAAGTTTGGTATAGGAAATAAAGGCATATTTTATCATTACAACTCTCATCAGACCCCTTAAACATGGAGAAGTTTCAGGTGTGCTGTTCAGATTTGAAAATATGATGAAGCTGTTACACTGAGAATGACAGCGCTCCTTGAGACACCTTATTTCAATGGATGGAAATGAGCTTAAGGTTACGGGCATGATAGACCTTCCACTAAAGCTGCTACTGTGTATTATGTTAGTATGTGCTTATGGGCTCCTTAATGCCTGGAATATTGACATAAACCACAGCATTCAGATTTATAAATAACGCTCTGATTGATTTATTTTATACTAAATAACTGTAATATAAAACCTTTTATGACAGAAGATGCAGAAAATTTAAAGTAAAAAAAGTCTCTTTGGAACTCTTTTGGTAACAGAAGTGAGAATATAATGTCAAGTTTTAGAAGGAAAAAATGCAGTGTACAGTATGGATTATATATTGAAACCTATATTGGAAGGTGTGGGGTCCCTTTCTTACCCTCTCCAATTCTAAGACTATTGAAGGAGAAAGTGAGTGCTTACAAGTGAGGTAAAACTGAAGCTCTCAAGAGTAGTTGTTCAGTGAGACCACCTTGTAGTTTGCTACCAGGGCAAACTGCTAGCAAAACCCTGAGACAAAAAAAAAAAAAAAGAAAAGGTCAGGTCTGGTAGCGTTTTAGAGATAAGGATAAAGCCAGAATAAGCTTTTTGTTATGAGCTTGCTGGGGAGGGGTTGGGGGGAGGTCCTTGAAAATTAACTGGAACATTCAGCTTGTATTTCTTGATGTTTTCTGAGAGAGTGCATAATACATACTTAATTTTATGTCTACTACAGTAGAATCTATTTACTCTGTAAATGATATTCTTACGGTGTCTCTAACAGCATGAAATAGAGGTGGCACAGCAGAACTTTTCAGAACAGTATTTGAATTTAATAAAAGAGGACAATTTGCTATTTATTGATAGAATTATTTCTGTTAAATTCATATCACATCATGTGGATCCTTTTGGAGTCATTCTTATTCTTCTGCAAATCAAGATGACTAGGGCTTTCCTGGCTTTCTGCTTTCCTTGTGAAATTTTGGCTTCTTCCTGTCTTCTGCATAAGGTACCTCATCACTCTGTCAAGCTTTGCACATCCTCTAAAAGCACTAGAATGAATTCAAGAATGAGTTTAACACCCAGGTTGTTGGTTTTGTATTGCTATGTATTCTGTGAAATCTGCTTCAAGAACGTAGCTTGTCCTGGTTCTGTCTCCAGCACCAACAAATTGCTACTGACATAACTATTTGTTAATGATTTAACATAACCTCTAACCATTGCAGCGCAGGCACAGCTTCATGCTAATCTTTGAAAGGTTTTTTTAATCTCCTTTCTCTGCTTTTGTTTGGGACAGAAAAACGCTGTCACTAACAATAACGTATAGATACACAGCCTTCCTTCAGTAGTTGCTAAGCTCTGAGCACGCAAAAAGAGAGACATCAAACTAAGTCACAAGCTTTTTGTATGTAAGAGAAATTCTGAAGTGCAGAGAATAGTAATGGCTCTTCCTCTAGAACTTCAGCCCTTGGTGTACATAGAAAACAAAGAATATTCAGGTAACCTGAATCCTGATAGTTTTAAATTTGCCTTTGTGAAAGAGCTTATAGTTGATACTTGCTTAGTTATAATCAGTAAGTATCTCTTTGTGTAAAAGGCAATGAGACCGCTAGGACTATGTTCACCTGAAGCGCAGCTTTGTGAATCTTGAGGTAATTAAACACCTCTGCTATGGAAGAGAAAGGGCAGTGAAGGTTAAGTGAAGAATAATCCGATGCACAGGTGGTTTAGATCTTCTGAGAAGTGGGAAGAAAAGAACTTCATCAGATGTTGACCACTCTGAAGGACAGAATGTCTTCAGTATTTTGAGGCTTGCAATAATTTGTGGGTTTTGTTTTTTGCATAAATAAAAATTTCATTTTGTAATTTTGCCTGAAGCCTCTAAAATACAAGGGAGTGCATCCTTACAAAAAATCCTTATATTTGCAATAAGCAAACTCTTCACACCTATAAAATTTGTTCTGTAAATAGCTTAGCCTTGGTGGTGATGGATGGCCTGATTACGCAGAAGAGTTTCTGTGCTTATTCTTTGAGTCACATATAAACTGTTTGTAGAACTCTACCTACAGAGATAAGGGCTGTTATTTAGTATTAAATTTCATTTTAGTTTCATTCATTTAAAAAACAGAAAAATCTCTATTAGTCTAATGCTTACCTCTGGAGACAGAATAAAAAACACAGACTCGGCAACTGTAAGGATTTTCACACACTTGGTTTAGGTATTAAATTTAACTCAAATTCCTTCATGGATTCTAATCAAGAATGACCTAAAAGTTCATAAGCTACCTTTAAAATAGTACCGAACAGAATGTTAACGGTCCATTTTAAATAAGAGGGAAGGTTAAAATGAAGCTTTTATCTTCCTATTGGTTTCTGAATAGAATCCAGTCATGTCTTAGAGGAACCAAACTGCTTGAAAAGTAATGCTTTTAAAACTGAAAAAAACAGCTTTGAATTCACAATGTAACTTTTCATCACAATTGCTGCTGTGGTGAGAGCTTTTTTCTTTTAACTGGGTCCCAGTGTGTTAAGCTTTCTATATGATATGAGAGTGATCCAGACCTCTTGTGTGATTTTAGGTTTCTGCACTGAAGAACAGGTTGAAGAAAGTCTCTACAACCACTGGAGATGGCGTTGCAAGAGCATTCCTAAAAGCACAAGCATCTTTCTTTGGGAGCTACAGAAATGCACTGAAGATTGAACCTGTAAGTAGGAAATTAGTAGGCAGAAGGTGTAAATCAGCACCGATCAGCTGCGGTAAGAGAGGAAAAAAAAAAAAAGCTGACAAGAATACAAAGTGTGGTATAATCCGCTTTCAGAAGTCAGCATTGTGGCTGTCTGGCTGACCAGTACTGAATACAGTATTCCAGTCTCCAAAAGCGAGAGAGAGATGCAATAAGAGAGATTTCTTTTGGAGAGTTCCTTATATTAAAAGGGAGTTAAATTAAAGAGATAAAAACTTATAATTTATATCATGGTCATAGTAGTCTAGTCCAGAATTACTGTTCCCTCTCTCACTGCAAAAACAGGATGTTCATTACATTATTTTTAAAGGAAGTCCCTAAAGTGATGAAGGACTTAACCGTGAAACACGCACATCTATGGAAACATTGAATTTAAGGACACAGTACAATTAGTAAAGAAACTGTGTTTTTATAGAAATATGAAGAGTATCTGGATTTGTAACTACTGATGGTAAGTGTTCTGTTAGGGAAATTCAATCTCCTGCTTCTGGTTCAACGCTAATCTCTGTTTAGCAACAATTAAGTGCAATCTGAATGGGACAGAGATTTTTCCATACTTTTCTGGTGCTGGGTTTTATAGCTTCTAGGGAAGCATCTGGTCCTGGCCTACCGCAAGGGATAGAAATTTGTGCTTCATGGGCTTCAATACAAATCTGTCCAGCAAAATTCAGATATTTTGATGTTTTGTGACGTTCTCGGTTTTGCTAATACATAAATAGGAGGCTCCTATTGAAATGTGTATATGTAGCTGATAGACTGTTAGGGACAAGGTAAATAGTTATGATGAGCATTCAGCTATAATTGATGAGATGTAGTCCAGAAACATGAAGGGGATGAAAAGGGCTAATTGTAGAACGCTCTGTGGAATATTTCCAACATGTTCCACATATATTCTGTTCTATTCTTCTTGCATTTCTAATGCAGGGGAGAAAAATGGAACAGGCTATAGCACATGCAAGTCAAATACAGTGATAGATCTCCATGGGATGTTCAGGGACTTATTTGAACTACTGTTGTTCAGACCGATGGTCATTTCACAAGATCTCTGTAGAGGGGAAGACATACTTCCATCTCTTGTTTGCAAGCGTTTGGAGGCAGAATGGAAAATTGGTGGTCGCTGTGGAGAGCTTGAATACTACTGGGAGAAGCTAAGATGAGTACTGAGTGTAAGTGGGAAAGCTATATGAATGGAGCGAGAATGAAGGCTCGCTGGTTGGGAAGAGGTGTTGTGTTTTGCATTCTGCGGCTCAGTGGAGATTAACAGAGAGATCTGCCATGCAGACAAGTAACAAATGTAATTTTAATCATGAAGTTAGAGGAAAAGACCAGAAGTTGGACTACAAGTATGGTGTTTCTTGCGGTTGAGGTCGCTCCATAACCAAAGTGTCTTCATTGCTGTATTTTGTTTACGTGTCATTTTTGTGGGCTTTTAAAGCCAGAAGAGAAAAACAACTTGGTCTGAATTTTAAACGATCCAGTCCTCACTACCAAATAAGCGTCATTCCTAGGAGTCATGCTCAGTGCTCAAAAGTGACTTTTGAGTTCGACCTGAATCTTTCCCCTTCTTACTGGGGGAATGTGTGGAAGATTATTGGTGTGTCTGTGTGCGTGTGCAAAAATAAACTGCATTGATTTTAGTATGTATGACTGGGTGTCAGTGTTGTGCTTTCAAAGTATCTAATGTAAACTAATGGGAGATGTATAAATTGTCATCCACATGAAAAGCAGAGCTGAGACTAGCAAGGCAGCCTGGTGTAAGCCTCCCCTTTGCGTGTGCGGGAGACACTGGCTTCCCTTCATTCATTCAGCCGTCTTCTCTCTGACACTCCTCCCAGTAGTTGCCAGGCAACTCTGGGAATATTGGTGTATGCTTTGCCTGGCTGTGGATAAGAGATTAACTAGTTAAGGCTTTTATGAAGAAAAATAAAAATTTAAATTGCTTTTCTGGAAATACCATCTGGTATTTTGAAGGCTGAATGCTAAAGATGAACCTTCCAAATTAGTTGACAAGGAGGACACACATCAAAAAATTACAATCCGCACCCCCCAGGGGACCGCAAACCTGAGGCAGTAAAAGCAGTTGTTTGGTTTGCTTGTTGTTCCATCACATAAAACCTCTAAACATAATTGTACAAACGTGTCATAGCATCCAGTTGTAAGGATCAGGAAATGGAAGATGCCCAGGTTTTCTTTCCTAAGTCCTTTTATAAATTTAAAATTAATTACTGATTTTTATATTTCTTACCAAGATTTATGTAAAGAAAGTTTGCAAAGCATGGCAGATTTCTCATGTGCTGAACATACCTGAGTCGAATGACCTGTGGTGTGTTTCCGCTTCTGCCACTGACACCCTGTAAGTACTGGACAGGTCATGCAACTGCTTTACTTCACTTCCTTTCTGGAATATGCTGGTAGCTAACGTAATTACTGGGAGGCTCTCACTACTGTTGGGAATACCACGCTTGAAAGTTCAAAACCCTTGGAAATTCTGATCTTAAAGAGATATAGGAAAATCTCAAACAGTGGTATATAAGGGGCAAAGCAATTACAAAATATACTTGCTAAGTTCACAGCAGAAAATGGATTGAAATGTAATAATAACAAAGCATCGTAACTTTTACGAATAGTAAGGCATATTGTAATTTAAAGCAATGTGTTTCTCTGGCCTGCTGTACTTGGGATACGATACTTGAAACCATCCTCTCTTCCCTCACATAACTCTATCTCCTGCACAGCTATTATGTTATTTTTTGTTGGCTGATTAGCTCAGCTTACTGTGCTTATGGGGTATATACTAACCAGTGTTTAAAGCGGTCATGATGCACAGTTGTGATCTTACTAAAAGAAATACAAAATGATGGGAGTTTCACACTGAATAGTGGAGGAATATTAAAGTATGCATGAAAACTCCTTCCGCTATTGTCCATTGATGCTTTCCGAATCTACAAGGACCACAGTGGATGTTGTCATTTGTTTACAATATTTAATTTTTGTTTGCAAAAATCAATTTTGAGACCGTTACTGATTTAACAGTTGTAAAAGATTATGAGGTTACATACTGTATATGCAGATCAGTACCTGGACTATGAACAAATTATTGTTGCCATAAACTTTCTGGGGACTTCAGTAACTCAAACTCTTGCATTAAGAAACATATCCAGATAAAACAAACTGCAGCTTTAATCATAAGGATTATTATTATTATTACTATTATTATTATTTTATGTTAGAACATAACGGATGCATTTATGTTCCCTACTGTGTATATGTGTTTCCACAGCTGCCTTAATCCAAATTTTAAGCGCGAAAGAACATGTCACATATGGTGTAATTGCATTCTCCACAGACACGTGTTACTATGAAGTACATTAAAGCACACAAGAGGCAGTGTGTTTACTTGGCTGTATTGAGGCAGATTACTAGCGTTATGGATGTTGCTCACGTTTCTAACAATGCCGTCAACGTGAACGTCTGGTTCACTTGAATGACTTGTCTTAAAAGTCCCTAAAAGTTTTGCTGTTCCCTAAAAGAATGTTTATTCTCAACACTTAATTCACAAAATTAGATCATCTTCAATAGAAAGATCTGTGTATTATTGTGTGTGTGCATATAAATGGTTTGTAGTACTTAAGAGTTATGTGTTTGATGGTAAGTGGGGAAAAGAACAAGCCTTAACTCTGCCTCAGAGATGGTTCTGTGCACTTTCTTATGCTGACACCTAGTGGTTAGAGACAACATTTCCTTGGTTTTCTTTCACAGACAATCTTTGTTAAGAAATAAACTTCCTGAGACCTGTGATAATGGTAAGCTCACTGCATAGATTGGGTGAAAGCAGTAGTACGTAGGGTGTAATGCAGCAGAACGTATAGGGCTTCAGGTTGGTGCTGCCAGTCTAGGTATCCCAAGCCATGTGCGTGCTTGTTCACTTTACGGGGGTGTAAGAGTTTAACAGAAAGATCTAAGTCTGATGTACAGTCGTCTCAAATGACTTGCTTTGTTTCTTCATTGAACTTTGCAGCTGGAAACGTGTATGTTAAATACGACATTTTCTAGGTGACACCCTTGAAAAGCTTGTTTGCTTGTACTTGTTTTAAAATCTGAATCATATGAAGAGGTGTTTCTGCTTCCACATCTTGTACTCTCTGTACTTACCTTTCTTTATAGTGCTGCTACTTTTATATGGATAATCAAGGGAAGTTGATTTTAACACTCACATCCCAGACAGATATTGTTATCTAACTTCAAATGCTCCTGCAGGTAGTTTTCTTTTTAACTTTGCTGCTTTGAGTTGATAACTGCTCATTATATGCATGCACTGTAAAATTTGGATTCTGTTTCATGACTCTTAATATACATGGTATAGTAAAGTGATAGGTATATCTAACACAACGTGAACTAAAGTAAGTAAACTGTTTTCATGTTGATAGGCTATTTAAGAAACATCTGTGTGTGAGATTCTAGTGTTCATTGGGGTTTGAATCATGGTGTCCTGGTTTGTTTTTGAAGGGCTGGACTAGCTGATTATGGATTTAGTAATCTAGTTACAAGGGTGATAAGCTCTACGTTCTTTGTAAAAATTTTTCTTGTGTCTGTTGCCATATTGCCTAATTGCAACCATTTTTATCATTTATAAAATCCATATAATCCTGATTTTGGAGGATTGTGAATGTGCTGGATATTCATAGTATCCATATTTCCTACTCGATTTATGTTGCGACAGCTGTGAGTACTTTCAGCGGGTGCCTGTCAGTGGCAACAAATGTCTCTGATTTGTGGCAATGTTGCTGAGGGTGCAAAATGATTAATGTAGTTGTATTACCTGTAGTGAGAACTGTGCGCCTTATTAGTTAGCTCGTATTATTTTCCAGAGGTCTGCCTAACACAATCCTTCGTTGCTTTGCTCTGCTTGAGAGGCCCTTCGCTCTATCTCCAATTGAACTGGAATGAAGCACTAACCGTGC